AGACAGACAGACAGACAGACAGACAGACAGACAGACAGACAGACAGACAGACAGATGGAGACGGAGGGAGAGAGAGAGAGAAGAGAAACAATGATTGAGAGAAAACTCTATACCTCCCGACTGCTTCTTCTTATTCTTGGCAGCTCTCTCCCGTTTCCTCTTCTCCAGCTCCTTATAGGACTCGGCCGCTTGCTGGAGCCGAGCGACAAACTTCTCGATGTCGTCGAAGCAGTGGTTCAGTAGTTGCTGCAACAACACACAAGTTTCAGTGTCAGCACAGAATATTAACACTTCGCTATCATATTTTGGGGAAAGCCCAAAGAAACTGGGGGGTAAACATCGCCAATCGACGAATCTTGAGGCCCGACAAGATTTCCAACGCAGATCTGTTACGTATATGTAGGCAAGAGGACATGACCACCATAATAAAAAGGAAAAGATGGAGATGGATTGGACATGTTCTGAAAAGAGAACCAGACTCTATTGTGAAGACTGCCCTCCACAGGACACCCAAATGACGTCGCAAAAGGGGCAGACCCAAAGTGATCTGGAGACACACAGTAGAGTCTGAAATGAAGTCCTGGAATCATTCGTGGGGAACGCTGACCAAGACGGCCCAAAACAGACAGAGCTGGAGATCCTTTGTTGCTGTCCTAAACGCCAGATGGCATAATGGTTAGTAAGTAAGTAAGTAAGTATCATATTTTGGGGAAAGCCCAAAGAAACTGGGTGGTAAACATCGCCAATCGACGAGATGAGGTGGCAAAGAGTTAACACTTACCGTACTAAAGACTCATATAATTTTTAAAAACCCTCAAGTACCGACGACCAGTTTAGAATGCTGAAGACATTAGGAATTTTTTTCTGAGTTTTAAAAACCTTTACAGCCAAAGAAACGCGCTAAAAAAAAATTTAAAACTTTCATCAAGCATTCAGCTATCACAAAAGAGTGACTGCATTTGGTATTTACTTCAGTGCAGTGGCTCCTTTCCTTGTTTAAATGTGTTAAGTGTGCCTAGTTTGTGTGCATGTGTGTGTGTGTGTGCGTGT